ATAAATCTTGAAAAAATTGGGTTACTGTCTTTCTTCTTTTCTAGATTCTGACATAACTTACCATCCTTACCCTGCAGTTAATGAATTGTTCATTTCTCTCTTTCTCTTCTTAATTTATAAGCCATCCACCTCCCTGGTTTGTTCGCCTGTTCAAATTGATTTTGTTTTACAAATTTCATTGTATTGACATATTTTTCTTGCTCAAATAAATTCAATTTGTGTTTAGCTGCCATCCAATTAGTTCTTACTTGTTCATCCCCTGGTCTCTCCTGTAATTTCCCTTCCCAATTTTTGATCTCTTCTCGAATTTTGTTATATTCATTTTCCTTCTCCTTTTTCCATTTACTATTATATAGGTTCAGTTCCAAGTGGGGGGAAAATCACTGGAAACATGGTGGCTGATTGGGAAGATGGTTTTTAATGGTGGACAGGACCTCATGGTTTGAGGTTGTGCGCAAAAAGTACATGGTTGAGAGAGAGAGAGAGATTTATACCCTCTGTTCGGCTTTGAATTTGAGCTTGTATTCTGATTGGCTGTCAGACTCCCAGGGGGCAGGGGTCTTAGCCAACTTTGAAGGTTGTCTGTGTCACAGGCTAGGTTGAGTTTTGCTGGGTGATGTAATCTTCCAAGGTGCCATATGGTGAGATGAGTAGAGAGTTAATCCTATCATGTTGTGAGGGCCATGTCTTAATCCCATCATCCTGGAGCTGAAGGGTTGGGGGCAGGGACTTGCAGGAAGCTGCTTTGTTTTTAAAAGCATGTTTCTCCTTTTCTCATTGAGGGAAATATAATATTCTGCCTTTTTAATATTCCACAGAATATTTAATACTTCTAGAAGGGCGATGGGTGCTAACTTCCCACACATAGAAAAATCAATTCAACTTTAGGATGGATTATCTAAGTCATATACCCCTGGTGTGTCGCCTCCCCCAAATATCATTGCTTAAATCCTTGCCTTCTGTGTGTGCTTTGGTTGTTTGTGTGCTCCATACTGCATCCAGTGCAGCTTCCTTACCTGTGGGACTTTGAGGATGCTGAAGATGGAGGCCATCTGCCTTGAGGATTTGGAGTTGTGACCTCCAATGACAGAGAGCAGAGTCTCCTGCCTGTCACATTTGTAACCTGGAACCATTTGGCGCCGTGTGGAGAGCAGGGAGAGGCTGTTTAAGAAAATATTCCTCTCCATCTTCTTATTTTCATAGATGCGGAAGCCAAGGGTGATGTTGGGGAGGAGAACTAGATCCTTATTCACCTCCATGACAGCAAACATCAAGGCCAGGAACTGATGGTAATCTTTGATTAGGCATCTACAGTGAGAAAAAGATTGGGGAACATTATAGGAAAGATCTTGTGTGTTGGCGGAGTTGGCCTGGTCTTTCTTGTGTGTTCTTGCAGCATTAAGTGACAAGTTTCATTGGGTTGTTTTGGCTTTTTTAAGGATGTTCCTTGATTGCATTTGGATGGATTTCTGAGAAAGGAGAAAAGCCAGGCCGTCCATTTCCCACATCATTTTATACCCCTCTATCCTCCCTCCTTTCTTCACTTTCCTCCAGTGGCTGAACTACTCCCCAATTGCTCCTCTTCCTCCCTACTCAGTTTGTTTCATCCTTGAAGCAGCTTCTACAGGTCTGAGGAGAAGACTCCAGTGGGGGCCACAGCCCAGATTTACTAAGGAGCATTATGTAAGAGTTTTGTGTTAAGCCTAGAAATCATCTTTTTCATTGGATCTTCAGGCCTGCCACATTTACTACTGTGGGAAACTGGGTGGGGAGATTGAATGAGCACAAGTGATATATAATCCTAATAACATTCCTTTCTCAAAGAGTCAAGGACATCTTGTCCTGCACCTGGAGGGGTAAGGCTGGGAGGTGTTTCCCCTCCCTACTTTTGTTTAGTTGATAATCATCCCAGGGATGAAATGCTACTGGGTTCGCCCAAACCAGTAGCTTTTTAAATGCACAGTTCGTGTTTGGTGCTCACTGCGCATGGAGCACACAGCACATGTTTGGTGCTCATACACATGCACAGTGCATGCTTGGCACACGGCATGCATGCGTGGCCAACAAACTAGTAGCAAACCAGTTCAGATTTCACCACTGAATTATCCTGATGAAAACATATGGAAAGGCAGGTCATGCCCCTGCATATAATCTGTGTATATACTGTTGTTGTTCTCTGTCCTCCGGAACAGTTTTGGGAAACAATAGCAATAGCACTTAGACTTATATACCACTTCACAGTGCTTTCCAGCCCTCTCTAAGTGGTTTACAGAGTCAGCCTATTGACCCTAACAATCTGGCTCCTCATTTTACCTACTTCAGAAGGAGGAAAGGCTGAGTCAACCTTGACTCTGGTGAGATTTGAACTGCCCAATTGCAGGCAGCCGGCAGGCAGCAGAAGTAGCCTGTAGTACTGCACTCTAACCAGTGCCCCACCGTGGCTCACAAAGGGAATTCTAGCCTATTTCTTGATTTTTCCCTTCACTGAGAAAAGGACAAAAATCTGAACATCCCTAGAATGAGTATTTCTTAAAAGAGGCCCTGAATCCAAAGGAAAGAAAACAATCACTTACATTTTTCCCCTCCAGGTGAAACTTACGTGAATTTATTAATATGTCGCAGTGGGTCCCTTTGAAAATCTGGTGATTTGGACTGCACAAAAGTTACTAGGGGCAAATTCCCTCCAATGATCAGATCACCAGGCCTGTAAAATTCCCACTGATTTGGAAATTTTACATGTTTTTTCAATGGACATACGGAATGAATCTTCTTAGCGGTAATTGGAGGCAGGAGGCAGAAGAGCAGCAGCAGCAGGAGAGGCAGCCCAGACATTCTTCTCACCTTCCCTCCTAGATCAGAAATCAAGGTTTGTGCAGAAGCTGAATTAGCACAACAGACAGCTCCATGTCTTCTGGATGGCCTCAAGTCAAATTTATCTGATGTCTCCTTGCATTAACACATTTTTATTTTACCACTTTATTTCTTCCTATCTGTCCTATTCTGAAATTAGACTATGGGCTGTATTTTATTTTATAGAATAACAGAGTTGGAAGGGACCTTGGAGGTCATCTAATCCAGCCCTCCCTGCTCGAGCAGAAGTCCTTAAACCATTTCAGACAAATGGTTCTCCAACATCTTCTTAAAAACTTCCAATGTTGGAGCATTCACAACTTCTGGAGGCAAGTTGTTCCACTGATTAGTTGTTCTCACTGTCAGGAAATTCCCCCTTAGTTCTAAGTTGCTTCTCTCCTTGATTGGTTTCCACCCATTGCTTCTTGTCCTACCCTCAGGTACTTTGGAGAATAGCTTGACTCCCTCTTCTTTCGGGCAGCCCCTGAGATATTGGAAGACTGCTATCATGCCCCCCTAGTCCTTCTTTTCATCAGACTAAACATACCCAGTTCCAGCAACCGTTCTTTATATGAATAAAAAATAAAATAAAATTTTATTTTATTTTAATAAGGTCACAAGACTAATCCATCAATAAAAATCCTGTATCAATCATGCTTTCTCTTACCTGTGTTTGGGCTTTGACACAAAGGCCAGTTGAGCCTCACCAAACCCTGCAGTTAGCTCTTCGGAGGACCAGGCAAGGTCCTCCAGCACTGGGAGAACTCAGAGAATATCTTTTAAAGCAGGTTTAACCTTGGAATATTTTTGTGGGTTGAAATCCACAGGGAATACATTGAGAATTACTGTTATTCTATCATCGGAGGGGAAAGCAATTGTCCTATCCATTGGGCAATAGATGTTGTTTGTACACCAGACAGGGAAAAACATGCTTGTGTCTGAATCTGACCGAATCTGACCGAACACTGGTGAGGTCTCATAAAGATCTACCTCGTGGCGATAAGAGTGGCAAAATCTAACTATTTTTCTGCTCTTATTGGGTCTGCAGAGAACCGCCCAGCAGCCCTGTTTAGGGTGACCAGCTCCCTCCTTCATCTGGGAGCGAGGGAAGACCCCTTGCAGGGCAGGGCTGAGGATTTTGTGCAATTCCTGCATGACAAAGTCACTCAGATTCCGGAAGGTCTGGACTCAGATTGGGTAGATCCAGATGGGGTGACGGAGGTGGATCTTGTGAATGTTATCTGGGAGGGGTTTGACCCTGTGACTCCTGAGGACGTGGACAGGATTCTGGGTAGGCTTAGCGCTGCCACATGTTTATTGGACCCGTGTCCCTCCTGGTTGGTTCTGGCCTCCTGGGCGGTTACACAAGGCTGGCTCCAGGTGATTATTAACGCTTCTTTGAGTGAGGGTTTCTTCCCTACCTCTCTGAAAGACGCGGTGGTGAAGCCCTTCCTCAAGAACCCCTCCCTGGACCCGGCTGTACTAGTGAACTATCGTCCAGTCTCCAACCTTCACTTTGTTGCGAAGGTTGTTGAGAGTGTGGTGGCGCGACAACTTCCCCAGTACCTGGATGAAGCTGATTATCTAGATCCGTTCCAGTCGGGCTTCAGGCCGGGGTACAGCATGGAAATGGCATTGGTCGCATTGGTTGATGATCTCTGGAGGGCTTGGGACAGGGGCTGTTCCTCTGTCCTGGTCCTATTAGACCTCTCAGCGGCTTTTGATACCATCGACCATGGTATCATGCTGTGACGATTGGAGGGGTTGGGAGTGGGGGGCACTGTTTTGCAGTGGTTCTCCTCCTTCCTTTCCGACCATATGCAGTTTGTGTTGGCAGGGGGACAGAGGTCGACGTCGAGGTGCCTTGTTTGTGGGGTGCCACAAGGGTCAGTCCTCTCGCCCCTTCTGTTCAACATTTATGTGAAGCCGCTGGGTAAATCATCCATGGTTTCGGGGTGAAGTTCCACCAGTACGCTGATGACACCCAGCTGTACAGCTCCACCCCAGACCATCCCAATGATGCCCTTGACGTGATGTCCTGGTGCCTGGAGGCCGTGCGGATCTGGATGGGGAGAAACAAGCTCAGACTCAACCCTTCCAAGACCGAGTGGCTGTGGCTCCTGGCATCCCGATATAGTCAGCTGGTTCCATCACTGACTATTGGGGGCAAGATCTTGGCCCCCTCAGAGAGGACTCACAACTTGGGTGTTCTCCTGGATACACGGCTGTTTTTGGAAGATCATATGACGGCCGTGGCCAGGGGAGCTTTTTATCAGGTTCACCTGATGTGCCAGTTGTGTCCCTTTCTGGACCAGGATGCCCTGCGCATGGTCACTCATGCCCTCGTCATGTCCAGTCTGGACTACTGTAACGCTCTCTACATGAGGCTCCCCTTGAAGAGCACTCGGAGGCTCCAACTGGTCCAGAATGTGGCCGTGCGGGTGATTATGGGGGCGACTCGTCACCCCCACGTGACACCTCTCCTGCATGAGCTGCACTGGCTCCCAGTGGTCTTCCGGGTGCGATTCAAGGTGTTGGTTACCACCTTTAAAGCGCTCCATGGCTTAGGACCGGGTTATATATGAGACCGCCTTCTGCCATCGACAGCCTCCCACCGGCCAATACGCTCCCACAAAGAGGGACTCATCAGGGTGCCTTCGGCCAATCAATGTTGACTGGTGACACCCAGGGGGAGAGCCTTCTCTGTGGGGGCACCAGCCCTCTGGAACGAGCTGCCCCTAGATGTGCATATGATCCCTGACCTGCGCACCTTTCGCCACGCCCTGAAGGCCCTCTTGTTTCAACAAGCCAGGCTGGCCTAACATGAATATGAATTTTAAATGGATGTATGTAAGTTTTTTAATTTGTGGGCCAAGTTTTTGTATATTTGATTTTAATGGTTTTTAAATTTTGTAAATTTTATGTGTTTTAATATGGCTGTACACCGCCCTGAGTCCTTCGGGAGAAGGGTGGTATAGAAGTCTAATAAAAGTAAAGTAAAAAGTTGTGTCTCTTGTTGGTAATCCACAGAGCAGATGGACTTGGGAATCAAGGTGAAGTTGACTTTTTGAACTAACTGAAATTTAACACCTTTTTCTTTACATAATCTTTGGTTCATTGTCCATCTCTTACGTCTTCTTTCCCCTTTCCAGTTTATGAATAGTGGATTATGGTCTGCCCATTGGTTTGTGCCTATCTCAATTTTTTCTACTTCTATTTTGATATTTGGGGTCATCCATGCCATGTCCAGTCTTGACCAGGAGTTATGTGGATGGGAGTAAAAGGTGTATTGGGCCTCTTCTTCATGTGTTTCCCTCCATACGTCTGCCAAGTTTAGTTCTTCAGCCATAGTAAAGAATTCTTTTGGAAGTATTTCTTTTTTTCTTTGTTTTTTTCCCCCAGTTTTGTAGTCCTTCTTTGCATTTTGCATTTTGGACTACTGTAATGCTCTCTACATGGGGCTCCCCTTGAAGAGCACTCGGAGGCTCCAGCTGGTCCAGAATGCGGCCGCGCGTGTGGTTATGGGCGCAACCCGTTACGCCCATGTGACACCCGTCCTGCGCGAGCTGCACTGGCTCCCGGTGGTGTTCCGGGTGCGATTCAAGGTGTTGGTTACCACCTTTAAAGCGCTCCATGGCACAGGACCCAGGTACCTCCGAGACCGTCTTCTGCCACCAATAGCCTCCCACCGACCAGTTCGTTCCCACAGAGAGGGCCTCCTCAGGGTGCCATCGGCCAAGTTATGTCGGCTGGTGACGCCCAGGGGGAGGGCCTTCTCTGTGGGAGCCCCAGCCCTGTGGAATGAACTGCCCCCGGAAATACGCAAGATCTCCGACCTCCGGGTGTTTCGCTGTGCATTGAAGACCCTGTTGTTCGGCCAGGCCGGACTATCAACACAATAGTTTTAAATTGGGGTATTTAAATTTATTGGGGTTTTAAATTTGAGCCACTTATTTAATTATTTTAAATTTTATATCATTGTTTTGTCTGTGTTTTTAAATAGGCTGTACACCGCCCTGAGTCCTTCGGGAGAAGGGCGGTATAGAAATAGAAATATTATTATTATTATTATTATTATTATTATTATTATTATTATTATTATTACTATTGCATTATAATCCCCTATTACACAAATATCATCATATTCTAATTCTGCTAGTTTTATATGTAGATCTTTAAAAAAAACCTGTAGTTTTTGGTTAGGTGCATAAATCCCTACAATTAACATTTCCTCTTTCTTATTTCTAATTCAACCATCACCACTCTACCTTGCTCATCGGTATAGACTAGTTTAGATTGTATTTTTTCTTTTACGTAAATCACTACTCTTTTTTTCTTTTTTTGGGCCAGAGATGAATATAGTTTTCCTAATTTGGAGTTTTCTAGGATTTTTTGATAATCTTTTTGAATGTGTTCTTCTTGCAGACATATCACATCTGTTTCTAATTTTCGTAATTTTGTGAAAATTTGATTCCTTTTCTTTGGGGCATTTAAGCCATTAATGTTTACCGAAAAGAGTTTGATCTGTTCATCCATTGCCTATCGTATCTGTTTTTCTGTGTTTCTTGTTTCCAAACAAAAAAAATAAAATAAATAAAATATTTAGGAATCTGGTTATCTACAAGAACATCAGCAATTAAAGAAAACAATTATGATAAATTACTAGAACAAACAAAGAAAGATTTAGAAAAATGGAAAAATTTACACATTTCATTCCTAGGAAGAATTTTGGCCATCAAAATGACTATATTACCTAAATTTTTATATTTGTTTCAGGTCACCCCAATTAAAATAGATAAACCGTTTTTTGAAAAGCTGAATAAAATAACATCTAAATTTATATTGCAAGGGAAAAGGCCACGAATAAAATTTAAACTGCTTCAGGATACAAAAGATAGAGGAGGAGCTGCACTCCCTGACTGGGAGATATACTACCAAGCAGCAGTACTATCGTGGGTCAAAGATTGGATAGAATTAAAGGACTCTAGAATTTTAACAATTGAGGGACATGAACTTCAAACTGGCTGGCACTCCTTTATGTGGGATGAGAAATACAAAACACACTCATATTTTAAAAGACACACAATAAGGAACTCATTATTACAAATTTGGCTTAAAATTAAAAAACAATATTATATGAAGATACCAAATTGGTTAGCACCGGCAGAATCAATTAGGCACCCAAATTTAACAGATAAGATAAAAATAATTAGATATAAAGATATAATTGACTATCAAGGCAAATTAAAGACAAAACAACAATTGGAGACAGATTTACACAGAGAAATAGACTGGTGGACTTACACTCAAATACAATCCAAATACAGAGAACATATAAAAACATATGAAATTTATAATCAAAAACAAGAAATAGATAAAATTATATTAGATTCAGAAAATAAATTAATTAGTAGAATTTATACATTTCTTCTACGCTATAAATTGGAAGAAGAGACAGTCAAAGAAACGATGATTAAGTGGGCTCAAAACATCAAACACACAATACCTTTGGAAAAATGGGAAAAGTTCTGGCAGGTAAACCTAAATTTAACAAAAGCAACGGTGTACAAGGAAAACCAACTGAAAATGTTTTATCAGTGGCATATGTCTCCAACCAGATTGGCAAAAATACAACCTAAAAATAGCCCAATTTGTAGGAAGTGCAAAAAGGCACAAGGAACTTTCTATCATTTATGGTGGACGTGCCCAGCAGCAAAGAAATTTTGATCTAACATCAAAAAATGGTTGGAACAAATAACAAAAACACAGATTGAAAAAGAACGAGAAACATTTTTATTAGGAATATTTAACAAAAATATCCCTAAGATATACAATGTCTCACAATATTCAATATATACAAATATGCAAATTGAAACCTACCTTAGAAAGGATGGAACTGAGTCAATTGAAATTAAGAAGACAATAACATAAGTATACAAGGATCATACCCTAAGGATATCAAATATCTCACAATTCACATATTAACTGCTGCAAGAATAACCTACGCAAGAATTTGGAAACAAGAAAAAATACCAAGTGAAACAGAAGTAACAGGGAAAATTTTAGAATGCGCTGAAATGGATAGGTTAACCAAAGAATTACAAGAAAAAGAAGAATCAGACTATTATAAAATATGGAATAATTGGTATAATTGGTTAAAAATCAGAAATATACAAAAAATATAGGGGAAATAATATATATATAATAAAAATATTATTAGATTAAGGAGAGGTGAAGGAATATATCATAAGTAGAATTGTAGAATGTCACTCTGAAAAAATGCTTAAGAAGAAATTACACTCTTTTTGTGTATATGTTGTATAAATGTCTGTTGTGTATATGTTACGTATGTCTTTTTTAATATTTATATTCAATAAAAACTACTTTATATTGAAAGTTAACACCTGCACACAAGATGAAGTTTGGCCTGTGCCATGGTATCTTCAGGTAGAATGGGTGCTAATGGGGCATGGTGGCAGTGAGCTGTACCTAAGGAAGTGTGAGCAATCATACCAATAGATGCAATAACTGCTTTACTTATTGTCAAGATTTTATTGCAACAATGCTTGTTAGCGTCATCATCTTGCCAAAGAAAAGAGGGGAGGGAATGGAATGCCAAGAAGCCATTCATGGACCAGAGGAACCTTCACCATACAAGGTCATTGATGCAGGTGCTCGATGGAGAAGTGAACTGTTCCCATAACAGAAATAAATATTACTATTGGACAATGTGAACACTCTGTGGGTGGGGGAATGGGAATCTGATTTTTAACTAAGCAAGCTTTTGCGTGGGAAACCTCAGAGTTCATTTTGCTGGGACTTAATTGCCTTAAGGATTCCTTTTGTTGGGTTCACTAGTAAGATTGTTACCATTAAACCAACTCCCCTTAACGTTCACATTATGAATGCAGCCTATAGGGGCACTTCCAAGAGAGTTGTAGCATGGTGACGTCAGGAACGGAGAAAAATCTGAGGCCACACTGAAGCAGTTCTTCCCCAGGAAGCTCTGGCAATGATCCCAGCGGACTCCGGAATGAAGCTACTAATGATCCGGTCCAAGGTGAGAGCCAAGCAGTTGGAGCAGCCACCGACACAAGGTGAAGGAGTTGTGGCCAGGCTCCTCTACCTGATCCCAAAAGCCTAATGGATGAGCAGCATGGGAAAGGCTGCCAAGATGGAGTTTCCCCTGATTCCACTGGAAGTAGCGATAACCTGGGGAACCAAATGGAATGCCAGGAGGGTTCCCAAGTGGGAAGAGCCGATAGAGTGGAAGTCTCCAACCATGGCTCGCAGCCCTTTGGTCGAGCAACTGAGGGAGAAGTTCAGTGGGATGGAGATGTGGGGAGGGGTATTTGACCTCCATGTGTGGTATCAGCTGGCTACCACGGTAGAACTGGACCTGTACAGGCAGCACACAATGGAAGAGAGCCACCCCTGCTGAAGCAAGGAAAGACACCTGTCAATGCCAGAGAGGGAGGAAGCCCTCCGTCGGCCACTAGAGAGGGCCAGTGTTGCTCCACACAGGCCTGCTTCTGATGTGGAAAGGAGGACCATTGGGCTGCTAACTGCCTAACACTTCAGCCTAATCAATTCCGAAATCCCGAAGCCAGTCAAAGCTGAAGTAAACATTGAAGAAGATGGAGAAGACTGGGACAGAGCAACAGTTCGAGCTTGGCTATGTTCCAACTCCCCAAATACCATGTTTCCCCAAAAATAAGACCCTGTCTGATATTTTTTTTTGAACCCCAAAATAAGCGCTTGGCCTTATTTTCGGAGAGGTCTTATTATTTTGGGGCACATGGAACAAGATATGGCTCCTTTTGTCGTCTTACCTGATTTCCAGCTCTGCGTTTAAATATTTTCTAGGAGGACTTATTTTTGGGGGGAGGCTTATTTTATCGCATGCGCTCAAAAGCCCATTTGGACTTATTATCAGGAGATGTCTTATTTTCGGGGAAACAGGGTAGTTACCAAAGAGATGCTATTTATTGTGTGGAGAGTGTCTTTTCATACTTTCCAGCCTCAGGAGGGCCTCTGCAATTAGGCATTTAACTAGATTTCATGCAGTTCCAGTTGTCCAAAGCTACACATAACACAAGTCCAAGGCAGTGCCCAAAAGTCGGTACCCCACTGAAAGCTCCCCACTTCACAGTAGATATGATTACCTCATAGGAATGTTAAATGTCAAAGGTATTTATGGGCCTGCTATTTCCATAGTTGGTGCACCAGCTTTTGCAGCCTGTGCTTTTCGTAATATATAAAAAATACAGTTTTTATAGTTACAGAATGTATACCTAAGACTTCAAAGATGACAACTTTCTTCAATGAGCAGCAAAAATATCCAAGAATGGCAATTTGGCAAAATTAGCTGGTCGTTGACTTTGCCTTATTTAAAATGGGCTATGGCTATGAGGAAGTTGACCTCTAAAAGGTCAAAAGGAAACTAAGCTCCCTTAGTTAACCCCTCAAACACAATACAACTCACAGTGAAAACAGAAAATCCCTAAGCCAATAAATCATATTAACAAAACACCAAGTCCTATTGCACCAGTGTGAACATGTTTCATGCTGCACTGGCCCTGCAAGTCCATCGTACTACGTAGTTATGATGTTATTTAGCATTCAGGAGTCTGACAGCCCACAGATAAAAACGGTTCTTCCCGACGGTAGGAGGGTAAAGAAGTGATGACCAGGGTGAGAGTCGTCCCTGAGAATTTTCCTCTCTCTTCTAAGGCAGTGAGCCCTAGCGATCTCATCTAGTGGTATCAGGGAAAGGCCCACAATGTTTTGTGCCGTGCTCAGCACCCTCTGTAATGTTTTTCTATCCTCTGCTGTCAAGCCAGCATGCCATACAGTGAGGTAATATACAAGCTGAGAATTTTTTAAAAAAGTGTTCTTGCATCTCCCTGAGGCCCATTGTAATTCTTCTCAGAACATCCCTACAGCAGCCTCTGAATCCCCGGATGCATATGTTTATTTTAACTAAATTCTCGGTAGGTAACAAAAGAGTAGGAAGAAACCTGAAATCCATTACAGTATTACTTATGAATATGCATGCTTGAATCATTTCAAGAATGAATCATTCTTACATCATTTTCTCATTTCTGAAATGTATAAATATCAGTGCATCTCTTTGTCCTCTCAGGGGACCCAGTTATCATAAAACATAATCTTTACTGAGAAGCTCTGAGATATGACATGGCAAAAGGGATTGTTAAAATAACATGTGTGTAGTGATATTATTTTCTTTTTTTTCTTTTTATTTATTTATTTATTTATTTAAAACAATACATCACAAAAAAGAAATAGTCAAACAAATGATCGTGACAGGAACTTTACATGATATTTACACTTTCTACGGTACGTAGGTTTCAGTCAGATTTAACATATATTAAACATAATCCTGGTTATACTTGACTTTTTGGGCATCTGTTGTTCAACCAAATGTACCATTTGTCCCAACATTGGAAATATACGGAGTCCTTTTGATCTCTCAATGCTTTAGTCAGTCTGTCGGCTTCCACATAATCCAAAATTTTCTCCAAAATCAAATCTTCAGCCGGCAGGTCTTTCCCCTTCCAATGTTGAGCGAAACATATTCTTGCTGACGTGGTGATAAATACACACAGACACCATATATTTGTGCCTATGTTGTCTGGCCTGATGTTCAGTAGATAGTACTCTGGTTTCAGAATTAGGTTATAACCGGTGATTTCCATGATCCGTGCCTGTATAATTTTCCAGAATTCAGTCGTCCTGGAGCAGGTCCACCACATGTGGGAATAGGTGCCAATCTCCCCACACTTCCAACAGTTTGGTGAGAGATTTGAATACATTTTAGAAAGACGAGCAGGTGGAAGGTGCCATCTATACAGCATCTTGTACACATTTTCTTTGTATGATGTTGCCCACAGGAATTTCATATGTTTAAGCCAGATTTCTTCCCATTTTGTCAAATCAATTGGATAGACAATATTTCTCCCCCAGGCAATCATAGAGTCTTTAACTATTTCATCCCCTATCCAATAGTCTATTAAAAGTTTATATATCCTTGATAACATTTTGTCCTCTTTTCCTAGAATGATATTGTCCAGATCATGCTGATTCAAATTAATACCATCTTGTTCCCTATCTTTTTTAAATTTCGAGCAAATTTGGGCATAAGCCCACCAATCCAGTTGTCTTCCCTGCAACTCCAACTCCTTTCTTGATTTCAGACTACCATGGGGGTCCAAAAGTTCCCGGTAAGAGAGATGATTTTCTTTGTTATATAGAGGCCTATACGTTATAGCTTCGAGTGGGACCAGCCAAGAGGGGATTGAAGAATAAAATTTACCCTTAATTTTCCTCCAGGAAGTAGTGATATTATTTTCTAATTGCAACCACAAAACTCCACCACATTGATGAGCAGATTTGGGTAGGAAGTTGAGAATTTAATCTTTACTATGAAAAAAGAAAGGAATCGAAACAGGAAATTCTACAAAGTTTCAGAAGACTATGGTAACAATTATATACACAGAGAAACATTGATATGGAATCTAACCTTTTAAAAGACTAATATAGTGAAAGATCTAATTAAAAGAAATAAAAATTAGAGAATATCCTTCTTGGAATAATGAATTTATATGTAACAGCAAGTGTTCTTTCTACATAGCTCACTGGGCATCAATGTGGAAAACTGGGATATGGGATAAAAAAGCTGCATTATTATTGCTGATAGCAGGTCCCTTTATTCATTCATTGACTGATTCATTCAATTTCTATATCTGCCCACCTCAGACAAGTGATTCTTATTGTAATCACTTATACCACTTGATAAGGTGTTATTTAATGAACGTGTTCCTCTTTTTCTGGTCATCACGTTTTTAAAATGATATAAGATACTAAATATGCCGCAAAGAAAAATTTTAAAACATTCCCAGGCATGCATCAGTTAGAGATTTTTGGTTCTTATCATATTCTCCCTACAGTTAAGATGGGGTCTGAATAGGATAATGAAGCATTTAGGGGAAAAGATGCAAGCCAAGAGACCAGCCCCAGAGGCCAAGATGGAGAAGATCTCCACAACCACCATGGACTTCCCTTTGGTGCTCAGGTAGGTGGGGAGGAAGGAGATCCAAACACTGCAAAAGACCAGCATGCTAAAAGTAATGAACTTGGCTTCATTAAAGCTGTCGGGCAATTTCCTAGCCAGGAAAGCCACTGTGAAACTCACAAAGGCCAGGAAACCCAGGTATGAGAGGACAGCGTAAAACATTGAAGCTGAGCCTTCATTACATTCCAAAATGGCTTCCCCAGTCAAGGCATGGAAATCCAAATTGGGAAATGGGGGAGAGGTTACTAACCAGGTGGCACAAAGAACTACTTGGACCAGGGGACAGGCTACAACAATGGAGTTGGTCAGTGGTTTTCCTAAGAGTTTCCTAGTTTGGTTTCCTGGTTTGGTAGCCATGAAGGCCAGAACCACCATGACAGTTTTTGCCAAAATGGAGGAAACTGCAAGGGAAAAGAGAATGGCAAAGGCAGTTTGTCGGAAGAGACAGGTGATCTTCCCTGGTCGACCAATGAAGAGGAAGGAGCAGAGGAAGCAGAGCAGGAGGGAGACCAGAAGGATGTAGGTGAGATCTCTGTTGTTGGCCTTGACAATTGGTGTGTCACGATGTTTAAGGAAAATTGCCAGGACTCCCAATGTGATTGCAGAGAAAGAAAGTGTGAGCAAAGCTAAAGCATATCCCAGGGCATCTTCATAGGCAAGGAAGTGGATCTTCTTGGCAATGCAGTGGTCCTTGTCCTTGTTGGGATATTGGTCTTCTGGGCAGGGATCACAGCTTGCAGAATCTGAAATCAAGAGTACTTTTCACATCACGGAATATCAAAAAGAAGAAATAATTCTTCAATATTGAATATTCTGGTAATAGGCTAGTCTGAGACAAGGATGTTTCCACCTTTGGGGATTAAGTTCTCTACGTTGTATTTTGCATCGACTCATGAGTCTGAATGAGCCGATGCAAAATACAGTATCTACCTACGTAACTACCTACCTACATCCATCCATCCCTCCCTCCCTCCCTCCCTCTATCTGTATCTGTATCTGTATCTGTATCTGTATCTGTATCTGTATCTGTATCTGTATCTGTATCTGTATCTCTGTCTCTGTCTCTGTCTCTGTCTCTGTCTCTGTCTCTGTCTCTGTCTCTGTCTGGTTTCCTTGACCCAGGAAGATCTACATTGAAAGTGTGCTCTACCTGTCTGGTTAGAAATGGTCCCTTCTGGACAAGGGTCACATTGGTAGCAGCACACCTGTTCGCCCTCTGGAACTCTTTTCCTCTCTCCTGCCTGGCACCTCTTCATGCCACACCTGGCAAAGGGCACCTTCTACAAGAGAAAAGAGAAATGCATGAGATGTCTTCAGCAATGAATGTGCTTCACTTATTCTTTTCTATATTTCTCTTTCCATCATTAGAATATCTTCAAGAGCAACGATTAACTCTAATGTACCACAAATCAGGAAAAGCTGCTGGGGGGATTAAGGCTTGTGCTATTCTAAACCACCAATGGATTCTGGGGCTTGGAACTGGGGCTTGGCATGCAAAAGAAAGGCCGTGAATTGAGCTATAGCTTTTCTGAAGCAAACAGCGATGGAGATCCAACTGAATGGGAATGGTCCATGGAAACCACTCTTGGCTGCTCTATCTGCATCCTGGGTTTCAGGCAGAATTTCTTCCTGATCTCAATTCTTTTTGCTCCGTCACAAATCAGATCTCAAATACGTTGCATGCAAAACAGCTTTTTCATCAAACGGTTGCCAAATTTTTGCTTCAGTAACCCGTTCTCCAGTAAGGGAGATATTTTGAATCCCTGGAAGGGAATGACTCTTTTGCTGCACTTATTTTACCTTACAGCTCACCTTTTTTGCCCAGACAATTGCATCAGAGTTAATGGTGAAATCCTGTCCTGCAGGAGCCCCGGGATCTATCTCTCCAACTTTCACAGGGACAAAAGATTCGTTGGGGAGCAGAACCCAGTTGAAAAGATCATAACGAGCAGATCCCAGGCCATTTTCTGAGAAGGAGACTTCATCTCCAGCACTGTTGTTGAACTGGATGTTTCTCAAATAGGGAAGAAGCTGAATGAAAAGAAACTTTCAGAAATTGCTAATACTCTCTACTCCTCTAAGAATTTGTTTTCCTCACAGTGCCTGCCCTGATTCCTGACTTCAATGGACATAGAGGTCTATACTTTATGCTTTGAGGCAAAAAAAATCAACACACCACAATTTCATGAATTTTAGACCACGTTGAGTTCTGTTCTGTGTGTTAAAGTTGAGCAAAGCTTGTTTCAAACAACAAGCAGTTCAGTGCAACAAATGGCAAGCTAAACATGTGGCAGGATCATATAGAATGCTAAGCCATTGTAACATAAATCAGAGTTACAATGAACTGAGTCAAGTTTCTTTCTATAACTGGATTCAGGCTACAACATGGAGGAAACTGAGATGGTTCTGAAAATATGTCTACTGGGACGTCAGTTGACCTGTTGAAGCATCTGGCAAATTGTCATCTTGCTCTGGATCACTCTACGCAATGGCCACTCCATGAAATTCACACAACCTTTGAATACTTCTGAAAACCTTTTGGGAACTTCATACATCCATGAATCTTAGCTACAATTGGTTTGTTTTAATGCTCTTTCCCCCTTCTACCCTTATTGAATCAAACATTATACTTAATCTGTGTTATTGTTGTTTTTAAAAATAGTTCTGTTTAATTTGCTTTGAGATGCAGTGATATAATGCCATATTGATATTTAACCAGCAATTCAAGAGATACTTTTCCTTGAAAATTCTTAAGGGAATAGAAACTATTTTATTTATTTTATTTATTTTATCATATTTATATACCGCCCTACTCCCAGGGGACTCATGGCGGTGAACAGCCAAGATAAAAATACACCCGGAAGACCACTGGGAGCCAGTGCAGCTCGCACAGGAGGGGGGTCACATGGGAGCGCCACGTCGCTCCCATCACCATCTGCACGGCCGCATTCTGGACCAGTTGGAGCCTCTGGGTGCTCCTCAAGGGGAGCCCCATGTAGAGAGCATTGCAGTAGTCCAGGCGTGAGGTGACAAGAGTGTGAGTGACTGTGTGTAACAAGTCCTGATCCAGAAAGGGACGCAACTGGCGAATCAGGCAAACCTGATGAAAAATCCTCCCGGCCATGGCCATCATATGCTCTTCTAAAGACAGCCGTGAGTCCAGGAGGACGCACAAGTTGCGAACCCCATCCGTGGGGGCCAACGACTCGCCCCCAATAGTCATCATTAGTTGATGGCGCCGGACTTCCGGTTTGCTTCTCGCTGCCGCCAGACGATCCCTCGGGACCGCCAGCCCCATTGCCTGTAAAGAGCTGCCTTTATAACTGAAAGGCGGCTCGAAAAAACTCTGTTTCCATGTGGAAATGGAGATAGAGCCGGCGGGGGCAGGTAGAGCTCTCTGCATAGCCCCAAAAGTTTTTTTTTACTTTTGGGGACGAAGCAGATGAAGCTCCCTATTTCCCTCGCCGCCGCTCCGGGCTTTGGGAGACCTCTGCTTATGCAGAGCTAGGCGACAAGAACAAGCCTACAAAATTAACAGAATAATTAAAAAGGATGTGAGCTGGACCTGTGACCCTGAATCGCAAGTATTTCATTTATTTTATAACAGTTATTGAAGAAAGAAAAGGAAAAGGAAAAAAGAATTTTTAAAAATGGCAACTGCCGAGGCTTGAGAAGGGGCTGAAAGGGAGAGTCCTTCCGTTTCCTACTAAGATACAAAGTAGCGGAATAAATACCTTTGGCTACAATTGAAGATAAAGCTCTACTTTTGTGTTTTCTTTTTCCTGGAGATCTGATAGTGATCTTGGTTGGAAAGAAGTTTTTTTTTTTCTCTTCTTTGCCTCTCTTTTCTTTTCTAAAAAAGTTTGTCTGTGTGGAAACATGGCATTAAAACTTACAAAGCCGGACAAACAAGCAGTGGGGGGGGGATTCCCCCATTAATAAATTACGTGAACAAGTTCTAAATCTCCAGTCTCAGAAAACTGATTTTAACATAATTGAATTTCTTTTGGAGGAGATTGTAAGAAGGGATGAGATTGTGAATCAGAACTTTGAAAAATTTAAGCAGGAAATTAAAGAATTAGTGCAATTAAAGTTTGATACTTTGGATCGAAAGATTATAAAAATGGCTAATGGTTTTGCAGAATTTATGATCAAGTTGGATGCAAATACTAATTTATTAGAGTCTAAAATGGAAGAAATTGAGGACAATTTGGACAATAGAATACAAAAAGTTGAAAATGATTTGACAAACACTCAAGACAATAGCTCAGAAGAAAAACCTAAAATGGACGCTGATCAAAAGACTTGTAATGCAGAAAACATACAACAACGGATTGAAAGAGAAGTTTTAATGATGCAATATAATTTTACTGAATATGCGATTAGACTGAGAGGATTGCAGGAAAATAACAGAGATGATTTAAGGAAAATATATTCTGAAATTTTGGCTGGGATTTTAAAGGTTCAACCTGAGGAAGTATTTTGTAGGATCGATAGAGTTTATAGAATAAATTCCTGGATTGCAAAGCAAAGGCAATTGCCTAGAGATGTGGTGATTTATTTTACAGATAAAGAAATAAGGAATAATATTGTGCAAAATTCCTTCAACTCTACTTTGCAATTGTTTGGAAGAAGGATTTGGATTTACAAAGAGCTCCCGCCCAAGATGTTATCGGAAAGAAAGAAATTTGGTTTTCTAGTGACTGAGCTTAAAAAAAGAAATATTCTATTCAGGTGGGATGCTCCAGTTGGCATAATATTGAGATATCAAGGAGAAAGATACCAACTAAATAATGTTGAAAAAGCGGAAGAATTTTATCAAAAATTTTTGAAAATGAACTTAACATCTTTATGCACAATACAGGATAAGCAGAAGGAGTTGGAAATAAAGGGAAAATATCGAACTATAGAGGCTGCTGTGGACAAATTGCCTTTGGATTCTTTAGACACCTCAGCTGGATTATCTACAAATATGAGAGAAGTGGCAACGGACTCTAATGTGATGATTCATCAAGTCACAGACAAGCATGGAAATCAATTAGCTGATACACAATTGATAAAAAAGAAATATGAGATACAAAAGCAAAACCAACAAGATCAAGTCATAAAGCAGAATGAAAACCGATCAGTTGATATACAACTTGTAGAAAGGAAACTAGGATGGAGATCAAACCCACAAAAAGAAAAGAAAAAAAGAAATAGGTCTCACAAAAATAAAAATTTCTAAATTAAGCAACAGTGAAGCCAATTATTTTTAAAAAATGAATGAATATATGAAAAGATAGTTGAGGCGAAGTTTTGGTTAACATTATCCTGAGGAGAGTGACAGACCTCTGCAATGCTGTAACTTTGGGATGTGAAAAGAGCCTTAAATTGTTGGATTGGAATTATCTATTTTGGATTTCTTTTTTTTATTGATAAATGTATTATATTTATCTTGAGCTATAAGGCAAGAGAGCTATGCTGGGGCACGCAGAAGATCTGGTTGTTACCCATTATGATGATGGGAATTAATAATCCTGATGAAAGCCACAATTACTGCAACCAGGATGCTATGTTACCCTAATATGGATGATGGACTCAACAATCCAGTGGAAAGACATCAAAGAAGATATTATATGGATTATAAATTTAAAGTCATTGATTTTTTTATATATATAACGGAATATATATTTTTTTAGCAGGGCGGGCAGTAGATTAAAGATATTAAGAATTGTTGTGCATGGTAATTTTGTAGGAAAGTGGGTGGAAATAGGTTAGTTTACTGATTGTTTAGTTTAAGAAAAGGGATGTTTAAGTGATATATTTAGGGGAGTGGAGGAAATGGATAGAGTTGAATAAATGTTAAATTAAGATTTATGGGGAAGGCTGCTTTGAAATGTTATATATATAAGTATGGGGGAGGAGAAAAAAAGGCAGATTGTTGCTAGATTGGGAGTTATAATAATATTATTATGCTAAATTAGAAGTTATTATATACTGTTATTTTGAAAAGTATGGTAAAAGGGGGAAGTAATAATATTAATAATATTATTAGCATGTAAGGGTCAGTATTTAGAGGAGGGAGTAAGGGGATGGTAAAATATTATATAATCTGTTATGAATTAGGTTTTTGTTGTGAAGAAGTCACAGGGGGGGATGGGAGGTGAGGGGGGGTTAGTGAGGAGGGGGAGAAAAATGGGGGGAAATTTGTATTTGAAAACTTTTTCAATAAAAAAAAATAGTTGATGGTGCCAACTGACTATATCGGGACGTTGGAAACCACAGCCACTCAGTCTTGGATGGGTTGAGCCTGAGTCTGTTCCTCCCCATCCAGATCCGTATGGCCTCCAGGTACTGGGACATCACTTCGAGGGCATCATTGGGGTGGTCTGGGGTGGAGATGTACAGCTGGGTGTCATCAGCATACTGGTGGTACTTCACCCCAAAACCACAGATGATCTCGCCCAGCGGCTTCACATAAATGTTGAACAGAAGGGGCGAGAGGACTGATCCTTGCGGCACCCCACATACAAGGGGCCTCGGGGTCGACCTCTGCCCCCCTGTCAACACAGACTGCAACCGGTCGGAGACAAAGGAGGAGAACCACCATAAAACAGTGCCCCCCCACCCCCAACCCCTCCAACCGGTGCAGCATGATACCATGGTCGATGGTATCAAAAGCCACTGAGAGGTCTAATAGGACCAGGACAGAGGAGCAGCCCCTGTCCCGAGCCCTCCAGAGATCATCAACCAATGTGACCAATGTCGTCTCCGTGCTGTACCCAGGACTGAAGCCCGACTGGAACGGATCTAGATAGGTCGATTCATCCAGGTACTGAGGCAGCTGTCGCGCAACCACACTCTCAACAACCTTCGCAACAAAGCGAAGGTTGGAGACAGGACGATAATTTGCTAACACAGCCGGGTCCAGGGAAGGCTTCTTGAGGAGGGGCCTCACCACCACTTCTTTCAGGGCTAAACTATAGTAAACTATAGTCTACAGACTGAACAGTCAATCTAAGGCAGCCCCCAGCCCCCTCTTCCACAGGGAGAAGCCCCCCCTCCCTAATATTTTGTGGCTGGATCCCTCCCC